TTTAATGTCGATTATGGGGATATTTTGCATAATTGTTTATGTCATGGTTTATTTAAATAACAAGGATTTGTCAATCTGTCTTGCTACATAAGAATGTTAATAAAATTATTAAAAGCCGGCTGCCTGCAAAGCTTGTCTGGCTCACACCTATGTTGTGTTGCGTTAATATATAGAAGGGGGGTGGATAGTATTCTTAAAGTGTATATTATACTCTAACTGTTTACACGCAAGGCAGTATTTAGCATTTCCCAAGTGTTTCTGTGCTCTCAGTAGAATTCAGTTGTTTTAAAATTTAGCACTAAATGTAAAACTTACTTACTGTGTAGTTGCGGACACCGTTTAACTACATATAATTAAATTTTTTCATTAAAATAAAAAGTGAAATCCACCCTCCGTCTTAGTTCTAACCTAATTAATTTTTTATACTCGGCCGTTCTCCTTCGTGCTTAGTAACACAAATAAGATGGTCAATTGTTGCATTTACTTGTAAAAAAATATATATTTATATAGGAAGCGAAAAAGCGCGAACACAAAAATCATGACATTAATTTTCTCCTTCATAACAATCGTCAAAGAGAGTTAAAAATATTGAATATAGTCTGTTCCCCATTCATTTGACCCTGTTATTTCCGGTAGAGTGAAGGCATTCTCTTTCTCTTGGTCAACACTTTTGTGTACAAAACAATATTTGGAACCCTTTTGTGTACATAACAATACCAATGCTGAAGCAGCCTATATGTCATTCCTATAAACGATAACTCATAAATCGGCACTAAGTTGGTTATTTTTCACACCTGAGTTACCTGTCCTTAAAACACAACATCGGAGAAGTCAATTATAAATGATTAAACTTTTTAATTATATAATTAAAAGTATGCATAAATTATTATCTTTTTTGATAATTTCATGTACCTATAAATCTATCTATACAATGTTTTTTACCATATGTGCAACTTGAAAAATTAGTTGAAAGGCCTACCATCAGGCCTGTTTACCGCTTGAATAATGTACATGTAATGATACCAAGTTTTGTTTTGTATATTAGATTTCTGTTTCTTTGTTGTCATAATTATTTTGTTAGTCCTTGAAAAACATTTATTGTTAAGAAACATCTGTAGTCTACCTTTATGAAATTAATTGGATATACAAAGATAAACACAATGTCATTCGCTGTGCAACATGTACGGATACACTCACTTTATAATTTAATATTTACATTTGCAAATGTTTTCCTTTATATAACACTACTGAAAGCAAGCGTATTTATAACTGTATAAATACAGGTACGGGGTCAAGAGGTCATAGATGTGCGTATGGATAAACGTTACGTAATTTCTCAGTGACGTCATAAAGGATCGACGCGCGTTCAGTGCCGTTGGGTTTGAAAAATAATGCATTTCACACGTTAAAAGTCACAATCAGGCAAATTTAAAGTATGAATAAGTCACAAATGTAAATATAAGTAATAAGGTATAATTTTTTGAGTTTATTGGGATATAAAATGGGTTGGCACATGATCAAATCTTCCATAAAGCCCTTCGGGCTTTATGAGATTTAATCACATGACCAACCCGTTTTACATCCCAATAAAACTCAAAAAACGATACCTTATTTCTTAAATAAATGTGCTAATAGATATTTTATTTAAAAATGTGTTAGAAAAAAAATTATATCAAAATTAAAACTAGATAATTCTATTTTATCATCAAATTAATCTCAGTCTTCGTTTCAAAGACGTCATTTCTTTTTTCAAAGATAACGTTATATTGAAACTCTTTATTTCTAAGACGTCATTAAAAAAGGATGACGTTATTTAAAAACGTCATTGACGTTATTGTTACATTTAAGAAATAAGATATCATTTTTAGAGTTTCATTGGGATGTGACATGAAGTCGGTCACGTGATCAAATTCTATAACGCCCGAAGGGCGTTATAGTAGATTTGATCACGTACCGACTTCATTTCACATCCCAATGAAACTCTAAAAAAATGATATTTATTTCTTATATTTATATTTTACTTTTATTCGTGTTACGTTACTACGGCGACATATGACGTCACAGTCAAGACTTTCTAATAGTCTCGTGCGGTTTGCCCAACTGCATGTCATTGAAAATTGAATCAGATTTTGATTGTGTGTCCCAAATTTGCTGTAGATTTGAAATATTTGAAAAAGTCAATTTCGAAAATTTTGTCATTAAGACCTCTTTTCCCAGAGAGCGGTCCATATAGCAAAACATGAACATTATGGGAGGCGGGGGTATCATTTAGTGAGCTCAGTGCTTACAGTACAATGAAGCGCAGAAGTGGTAAAATTTTCCATTTGGACGAAACGTTCTGAGTCATGTTTTGAACCAAGCTCCAAACAGCTCAGTATTACGTTACGCTACAACTCCATATCATAGTGGCGTTATTCGTAGGGAAAGTAGTCCCGGAGAATCGACACTGTATGGAGTTTGGTTTTGAACGTCAATTATAACATAACGACACGCCCATTTCTTTAGAAACGAGAAAGGAATATCCGCCGTAATGTTTTAGGACACTACACTTCCCGCGACAAGCAACATGAGTTACGTTGAAATTAAGAGTTTTAAATAAGAAAGAGCTATGTATAGAGTTCCCGCTTATGTAAAACACGCATTGCAACGAATTTGTACATAATTATGATTTTATCATGTTTATTGGAGTTAGCATAACACATGTATCAGTCGAACACGTGCTTACTAGGTGTTTATGTAAACCGTCAATTTCATTGGATGTTATATTTATGAAATACCTGTTCTACAGGTATTCGATTGAATCATTTGACCGAGTTTTCCTTTCTAAAGAAATGGGCGTGTCTAAAGATAGCTCAATAGTTCCATCCAAACAGAAAATTTTACCACTTCAATGTGCTTCATTGTACCTCTAGTTTTACATGTATAATATTTCAATCATAGTACATATAGACACAGATGTTAAAAAGGGTATGCTAACATTTATTAAATGGCTTAATTTTCTGTATCCTCAGAACACTTGAAAAGTAGATTGACTTTATTATACTCCCCGCTTGAAAAGTGGGAGGGTATATAGTAATCGGTATGTCCGTCCGTCCGTCTGTCTGTACGTCCGTCCGTTTGTTACGCTTTGGGGTACCCATCTCTTATCCGCAAGTCCTCTCATACCACTGAAGAAAATTTAATGAAACTTTCACAGAATCTTTATTACATACTGCCATTGTGCACCTTCTATTTTACTTTTTGATCTGACATATATTTTGGATTTTCCAGAGCAAAACATGGATACTACCATTATATTCATACGGGAGGCGTGGGTGTATTATTTAGTGAGCTCATTGCTCACAGTACCTCTAGTATTTGCTTTCAAAAAGTGTATTGTTTAATGATGAGGGTTAAAAAATTGTTCATATACTCTAGTTTATTTTGACCATGTTAAAAGGAAGCTTACAGGAAGTTCGAATTCTCATCAATTCCATGTACATAAGACATTGCAATATAGCATAACTTTTGACGACAAAGTAGCGATCAAATCCGGATTTACAATGTACACAACATGCATAACCACAGAAAGTTAATATTAATTAGATTGTCGGTTGAATTGGATAAAATAAGTTTATAGAAATGAACTTTTCGATAATTATTGATTGTCTAAATAACAGTCATGAAGAGGATTTGTGGAGACAGGAATTTACTGCTCACCTTATTCCGAGTTTCGTGCACCTGCTCATCTGTTTGACAGTTGGGGTAATAGGTAACACGTTTGTGTTCTTTATTTACATGACAAAACTCAGAAAGACAGAAAACAGGATATTTATACCGTTTTTAGCCGGAGTGGATTTTTTTGCTTGTGTAGTGACTACTGTGTTCTTCATTATTGATACTCAGTTTTACGCCAGCTTTCCCTCAGAACTTTTGTGTAAAATCTTCTACTTTTTCACCTTTTTTATCGTCATGGCGTCGTTGCTACTACAACTGACTATCGCTATTGGTAGATATATTAAAATATGTCATCCACAGAAACGACGGATTTACCCCTGTTTTGAAAAGGTTGCGGTTGTTGGTATATTGGTAGGCTCAGCAATGTTTGCGGCACCTTCCGTGATGTTCGCAGACGTCAAGCAATTTGATGCCGTCTACAACGGAATGAACGTCACTGGACAAACCTGTCGATCACTTGCAGGAAATTTTCAACAGGAGCGAGAAATTGTGCGCATGATTATTATATCAGTAATTGTTACAGGGATAATAGTTGCATGTGGTGTCTTTTACGCGAAAGTGGGAATAGTAATCTATAAAACGTTCCCGGGAAGAAATACAATGCTTCAGAAAAGTAAAAAGCAGGGCATCGACCAGGATTTTGTATCCGTTGAGTCAACCAGTTTGAATGCGGACGTAAGAGCAAAACACATTTCCGTAAATATTATGAATATTCAAAAATTAATCGGTGACGATGTTGTAACAAATGCGCAACGGAAATTACGTCATCATTATAGACGGCGACTGAATTTTAATGTCATGTTCATGACCATGTTTGTTGTGTATATAGCTGCTTGGCTTCCTTTCATCACAGTTATGTTATTCTCAGTTTTTCATAGTGATCTCTGGACTTCCAAAGAATTCTTTGGTGTCGATATAAACATTTACTTAATAATGAGAAATTTCTTTGTTTTAGCATATTGTGCAAATCCATTCATTTACAGTTTATTTGATTCCAAATTCAGGTCTACATTGCAAAGACCATTGTGCTGAACAAAATTACTATTGTAAAAAAAGAGTGTGTTTGTGTGTGTGAGGGTGTCTGTGTGTGAGGGTGTGTGAGTGTGTGTTTTAGGAATTGCCAACAATAAAAGAGATGAGTAAAGTTTAACCCTTTAATACATGTGTAGTAGGAATCAAATTTTTTGACCAAATCAAAATCGTTAAATTTACCCATTTTTTCTCTTTTTTTCTAAGCTGGTTAATTCTGGTGTGAACACTTGTGAACGTAAGCATTTCATAACCTAATGAAAGTCTAAAGCTATTGGAGATTTATTGTATAAATTACTAGTTTATTACTTTAGATGAAACTGCGAAATGTTTGTAACAATGTTATACATGTAATTACCACAATACTTTCAGCACAAAGGCACAATTAATATGGAAAGAAAACTTTACTCTCCTATACTTGATGAGAACAGTTTTTGTTTTTCTCTCAACAGATGTATGTACATGATGATGATGTTTACAAATTACAATCCATCGGATGATAGTGGAACGTCACAACAACAACCACTTTTTTTGAAAAGCTTAATTGGTAATAAAAATTTCAATTTATACATACCGGAAGTATTAGTTGTTTTGTAAACACTCAGATATGGTCCTGTTTTGCTACCACAGGCCTTTGGTTCCTCCAAGTTACAACTATAATCACATTTGGAGGCAGCCGTGTCTCCCGGTAAATTGAAGTCAGATTTGAGACAATAACATGTTTCTTCCTGAAAAAAAAAACTCTTAAAATTTTATCACAATTTTATTTAGAAAAATTTAAAGGAGAAATGTACATATGATTATCCATATATTCTGAACTTAAACATTGTGTCTCACAAACCTTGATGGCAAAAAATAATGACATTTTTTCATAAAAGCAATATTCTTGACAGCGTCCTGGTGTAAGAGCAATGGTAAAGTTTGTAGGCGAGAAGAGCTTGTTTTCAATACTGGACTTGCTGTAGCAACCTGTATGATGCAGTATAATATAATCTTAATAACGAGCACTCCTGAATGAATTACCAGAATATTAATACAGTTTAAACTGTCTAATCCAACACCCGTACAATCCAAATCACTGTGAATTCCCACCCTTATTTAAATTCACATTTTTCTGTTTTTTCAACAACTATTTATTGTTGTTCTTTACATTGTATAAAATAACACCCTGTCTTTCACGACCCACTTTGTCTTCTAGTGCATGTCAGATTAGAAAGGTTTTACTGTACTTTACTTTTCATTACCGGTAATCATTTTTAAGTATTGCTCCACAAAGCTGTAATATTTATATCAACCTAAGAGATGGATCCATTCTGAAACTTTCTGGATGTCGCCGAGCCAGAAATCGCCCGACACTTTCTCCAGAACTTCCTGAAGGTAAAGAGAGAAGTCGTCCGAGCTGAGAAGTCGCCCCTTCTTTTCTGCACACTGTCTCTGTCCCTCTATCCAAGTTACTTTTTCATATATCATCAGTGAATGTTTCTCGCTATCTATTGAAAAAAAAAATAAACAAAAGAGAATATTTTACATCCACATTGAAAGATTGGGGGTATACCGTATATACAACTTATACAAGTAATAATAATTCTTATATGTAATTTCATTCTCATAAATTTAACTGGATTTACGTGTCTTGTTACAATCAAATATATATTTTTTAAGTCTGCTGCCTATAAATGAGAACACCATTTTATATCCACTGTGTTGAAGAGTTTACTCTCGAAAACTAAAATTTTCTGCAGGTAAAAATGACTTCGTTGATAGCTCATGAAATATTCGTAAATGAAAATAGGCTTTGGCAGTGTGATATAGTCACGATTTAGTGTTTAATTAACTCCATGGTCAAATACTAGTATGTATATTTACAATATAAACTAGTGGTACTTGGGCACTCAATTCGATCACTAAAATGATATCCCCGCCTCCCATATGATTATGATGGAAAGTACTAGTATATGATTTGATCTGTATGGGAAACTCAAAATAAGTGTCAGATCAAAACGTAGAATAGGAGGTGTACAATGGCATTATGTAATAGTGAATCTTTGAAAGTATCATTAAATTTTATTTAGTGGTATAATAGGAGGAGTTGCGGATAAGAGATGGGTTCCCTTCATTATTACAGAAAGAATTGCAGTGTCCATGTTTTGCTATGGAAAACCCGAAATATGTGTACGATCAAAAAATAAAATACTAAAAGGATCGAATCACACAATGACACTATGGAACAATTATTTTTGAAAGTTTCATTAAATCTTATTCAGTTTCGGATAAGAGATAGGTACCAGATAGCGTAACAGACAGACGGACGGAAGGATGGACATCCCGACCAATATACCGGTGTATCCTCCCATTTTTCACTTGGGTATAAAAATGCAGATATTAATGAGTGCTGTGTATTGCACACTTTCAAACTCTCTTGGACAATTCATTGTTATACCACCACTTGAAATGCTAGAGGGTATATAGTTATCGTGGTGTCCGTCTGTCTGTCTGTACGTCCGTCTGTTACGCTTCAGGCACGTAGCAACAGGGGGGCCATCCCCCCCCCCCACTTTTTTCCCCAACATCACTTTTACCATTGGAAATGTTCAGTGAAAGACTGGTTGCCCCCCCCCCCCCACCTTATTCTACAGGAAATTGATATAAGGGAAATGTAGCGTTGAATACCGAAAAATTGGTACTGACAGAACTTGGTCACACACATCCCCCTCCGCCATATAGGATTTTCGAGTTTGGGCAATTTTCTTTTTTTTTTTTTTTTGCTTGTTAACTTTTTTAAGTAAGTAAAAAATAATTTCTCTGGCTGCTCCCTTTTCAAAAACGATGCTACGTGGCTGCGCTTTGGGGGTACCCATCTATTATCCGCAACTCCTCTTTTAACAGTGAATGAAATTTAATGAGACTTTCACAGAATCGTTGTTATATAGTGCCAGTGTGACCTCATATTTTACTTTCTGATCGGACACATATTTTGGGTTTCCCAAAGCAAAACATGGACACGGCCATTCTTTCTATAACATTGACGGGTACCCATCTCTTATCCACAACGCCTCCTACACGACTGAATAAAACTTGATGATACTTAGATTCTTGACTACATAATGCCATGATTGTGTGCCTTTTATTTTACTTTTTGATCTGACAATTATCGGGTTTCCCAGTGCAAAACATAGACTTTGGCATTATAACCATATGGGGGGTGGGTGGGGGAATCATTTAGTGAGCTCATTGCTCACAGTACCTCTAGTTTATCTATACTATACTATTTCGTGTTTTAAAAATGCATATTTAGACGCTGTTTGTTGATTTTAAATATCTTTTGCGGATCATTTAACGTATGTAACTGTTGATTTTAAGAATGCCTAGGAGTGAATGACATACTGTAGATAAACGTCTGATTTTATCTAGAAGAATTTTAACGAGAAAATGAATTCAAAAAAATAAAGAAATATACACTCATTTATATATACATTCCAATAATTTTAATGAAATATATATAATATTTTAAAATTATTTTAAAAGATTTTTATGTAAGCTTAAAGTAAGAAAGACATATATAACAATGCAGTGTTTACACTCCCAGCCATAACAAAAATAAAATGTTAACAGCCTGAAGGCACGATCACAGATGTACAACATAAAATACCAGGACAAGTCAACAGAAAAATGTGGTCAATTAGACTTACTGTAGATATATAAATATATATTCTAAAAAAGTATTCTTACCTACTATTACATGGCAGAGGACAAATGATATTAACAGATGAGATTTACAACGTAACATCTTCGCCATGTAAGTTTTTGTTCCAGCGTTGTCTGTCAACAATTTTGTCTCCCACGTTAAGTACCCTACCTTCCGTTCATTAAATGAGTCAGAGGCGGACAGTTTGTACGTGTAGAATTTGTGGACATTTCTGAAATGAGGAAGTTTATCAGTTAATCATACGAAAGAAAATCACTCATTGAGCAAAAATTAAATCAGAAATTTAATGAATTAAAAAAATAACTTCCAGTGCTACATTTATTTATACGAGTATGATAAATTTTCAATGCAACCATTATAATATAATAGCTGAATTCGTTCGTTCAGATGTATTTTATGTTTAGATTATACACCGTAACGTTATCTCAAGGAAGTACGACCGTATGTTTTGTCCGCTTTTGGACCTTTTTTCACTGTTACTCAGTACTTGACCTATGAATTTTAAACATGGAAATGTCCTTTTGATTTTTTAAATCGGCAGGGCTCATAAGGGTTTTCCCCAAAATAACTTTTATTCTTTAAGGACGGATGATACAAAATTTTGTCATAAAAATTGGAAATAACAACCTGAGTCATATTTCAATGAGATCAATGAACAAGTTTAAACCGCGTACATGTAATTAATTTTTAATTTTTTATTCCAAGTTTTACAAAAATGGAATTTGAAGTGAAAAAAATATTGTATAGATTGATAAGGATGGCTGCAGAAAGGTAGAATTTTGAATATCATGCAATGCATGTTTACAATTTCTTGATATTTTTCGATTAATCAAAACTAATTTGTACTATTGACTGAATGCTACACATAATTTAAAAGTAACAACCAAATTTTACCTTACTGGAAATGGGCGTTTTGGACAACATCTCCCTTCTGAAATTGTTTTTAAAACTAAAATAAAATTCCTTTCTGCAAACTGGGATTATTTTATTGCTTGTTTAGTACCGATTCTTTTATCTCTCATGTAATTACTGGGGGTCTGCATGAGGGTACGTGTACATTGTACACGTATATTGATGTTATCCTGTCCGTCTATCACACTTATTACCGCCAAGTTGTAAAGGATTTTGAATTAAGCGGGTGGCAGTAAATACAAGAATCATGTTGTAAATTTTGAATTTACTGCCACACGGTAAATTCAAAATTTACAACTTGACATAATTCTGATTCCTCTTAATTTCGTAGAATTTCCAAATCATCAAAATTGATGTTCGATGTGATTGCAGAGTTTCCATTTTTATTCTAGGGGGCATATCAAAATTACAATTAACATAGTTTCTAAATCATTACTTGCAATACTGGTGTTGTCGTAAAGATGTTCGATAAGTTTTCTGAGTTAATTTTCAACTTTTATTCTGTCAGCCATATCAATTAGAGAAACCTGCTGATTTCAAAAACTCCTCAAGCATTTTACCTAGTAACTACACTGTATTAGGTTTTGGATGATGGTGTCCTGTTGATGTGCAAAAAAGGTTTCTGAATTTTTATTTTCACCAAAATGGCTAAACCATCGACAATAAGCGCTGATGTATCATGTTGTCATCCTAAGGAAAAATGCTTATTAATTATTCTCGGCACATTTTGTCACCGGTGTCAATATGTACCGATGAACGACAATATGTGTAGTGATGTCGGTATATATTGGCAATGGCGACATAAGGTACAGAGCACAAACAAAAAAATTAACAAAACCAAAACCACCACCACCAAGAACAACTACAATGACCCTTACACATGTCTCATCTATTTTCTCTGACGTTTCCAGGTTGTAAGGGATAGTGTGACCTGTGGACTTTATCATTGTTACTTTTGTTTTAAATCGGATCGTTTTATTTTAGCATTTTTATGAGACCATGCTATTTAATTCCTAATTTCTAACAATTAAGATATGGAATTTAAAGATGACTATCAGTAAGTCTGATTGCTCCCCAATATGCTAAGAAGTTTGTGCTTCGGGAGTTTCTAAATTATACTAATAACATTAACTACAAACTACAGTGTATAGTACTGTGAGCACTGACCTCACTAAATGATACACGACCTTCCATATGATTATAACGGTAACATGCATACTTTGCTCTCTGAGATCCGTGATACTAGTAAGTGTAAGATCAAAAAGTAAAATAGGACATGCACAATGTCAATATGTCATAAGGAATCTGTGAAAGTACACTGTATATTAAATATATTCATTGCTATAGAAGGAGTTGCAGATAAGAGATGGGTTCCCTTCAATATAATAGAATAAATGACAGTGTTCATGTTTTGCTTTAAGACACCAAAATATGTATCGCATCAAAAAGTAAAAAAGGAGGTGCACAATAGGACTATGTAACAAATTTTCTGTGAAGACTTCATAAAATTAGTTAAATTACAAGCTAGAGGTGCTGTAATCACTGAGCTATTTAAATGATACATGTATGTTATGCTATGGAAGACCAGAAATAAGTGCAAGATTAAACAGTAAAATAGCTGCACAATGGCAATATGTAATTTTATTCAGTGCTATAATAGGAGGAGTTGTGGATAAGAGATGGGCACCCAAAGTTAGTGTCGGATCTAAGTGAAAACGGGGTTCGTGGCTTGATGGGAGTCACTTTTTTATAACATGAAAAGCCTTATCACTCTGTTAGATCATATCTACAATTTATTGCAAGTTTTACTCATTTAAGTAAAAATATAAGTATGATTGATCCAACTATTTGCTGTTCGCAAACTCTGTATTTTTATAGACGTGCAATCCCTGGTAGTTGGAATCTTTCCTTGAAGAACTGATTCTTTGATATGCATGATCATCATTTGAATCTGTCAGTTGATCATAAAATTGTGGCTCTTCTGCAGAATTTTGAGGTAAAGCGTTTGTTTGTTCTTTTCCACTGTGCGCCTTTCTTCTTTTTCTTTTGTAGAGTACAATTATAACTACGACACATACAAATATTATTGCAAAAAGTATCGAAATAATGGATATAATCATAGTTGAAGTTGTGGAAATCCCGTCACCTACAAATAAAAATATAATGGGAATATATAAAGGAATTTTTTCAAGGATAGTTTTGAACGACACAAACTGTAAAAGAGTCAAATGCTCTTAACATTTCTTCACCGATATGTAAAGTGGTGGTAGTTTGTTTGTTTGTGTTGGGTGGGGGGGGGGGGGGGTAGACAAACTTGATATCTCTTCCTTTATTGCAGAAAGCAAATATACGCATTTAAGAGCTAGGCTCTTATTTCTACTCAATTACAAAGCTATCAGTACTTAATTTAAACATTTGACACATCAATTGAACTTTTTAATCAATTTTGTTTCAACAACTATCAAATAAAACCACCAGGACAATGATGGTGATATTTATTGAAACGCACTGTTACTATTTGCCCCATTTCATTAATTGAATATCTGAGGTGTGGATTCAGACCATTTTCGATTTATACTTATAATTAGAATTAATTAATTATATATACCATTTTTCCTCTTCACATCCGCGGTCGGTGGGTCTGTTTTGATATTTTTCGGTACCTAGGACAAATATAAAAGTATAAATAAGTAATTTGAATAAAACTTTGAAACAATGATTGAAAAAAAAGAATAATTCATGAGAAAATTATCTTTTCTGCCATTGTTGCGTGATCTGAAAAAAAATTCCTATTAAACACTCTGTTAAAAGAAATTTATTTGCAAAATAAGTTTGAAATTATAAATAAGAACATTAGACAATGTAAAGTTAAAACACAAGAGTAGAAACCTATACACTGGGCTTCCGTACTATTGCCGTTGTCCAGGCACCAATATATAGAATTTTCAGTATCTAGAGAATTGTTATGCCACCACATAAAAAATAAAGAGCCCTTCAGATAAAAACAGAAAATCTCACTAGACAAACAGCAATAAGTTTCTTGCTACAGTTGTTTGTTTGCATCGTTGATGAATTTCTTTTGGTAAAAAACTCACAATTCTGTAAATAGGTGACTTCAATTGGGTACCCTGTGTGGAAGAAAGGAAAATTAACATAAACTGCGCATAGTATCTCAAAGTGCAATTTGTGAATGCAATTGAAATAATTTACAAGAAATTATGAAATACCGGTAATGTTTTCAATAAATTTGTATTGATATTTCTAAATTTTAAAATAAACATTTTCAAAAATATAGTAATATTAAAACAAGCAAATTCAAAGAATTGTGGTCCCCCGCTTTCGGTGTCTTTTTTTTGGGTGAGATGTAATTTTTTAAGACATTTTGTGTTAAATATGAACGCCCTATCATAAGTCATCCATTTAGAAATTATCACTGAACTCCATGGTCGAGATCAAAGGGGTAACGTTCTTGGTATCCAATGAAAAGTCTTCTCAAAATGATTACATATGTGAAGTATGAAAGTCCTAACCCTTACCATTCAAAAGTTCTGGTCAAGGTTAAAGTTTTCACAAAAGTACAAAAAATCTCCAAGGTCAAGGTCGAAAGGTCAAAGTTGTTGGGATCAAAGGAAAGGTCTTGCCACAAAGAATACATATGTGAAATATGGAAGTCCTGGTATCTACTGTTCAAAAGTTGTGGCCAAGGTCAAAGTTTTTGAAAAGTAGGTCAAACTCCAAGATCAGGGTCCAAGGGGCAAAGTTCTTGGTATTCAATGAAAGGTCCTCTCACAAAAATTATATATATGAAGTATGAGAGCCCTAGCCCTTACCATTCAAAAGTTATGGTCAAGGTTAAAGTTTTCTCATAAGTACAAAAAATCTCCAAGGTCAAGGTCAAAAGGTCAAGGTTGTTGGTATCAAAGGAAAGGTCTTGCCACAAAGAATGCATATGTAAAATATGAAAGTCTTAGTCCCTTCCATTCAAAAGTTATGGCCAAAGTAAAAGTTAAGAATTTTGTGTAAAAGTGGATGAAACTCCAAGGTCAAGGTCAAAAGGTCAAATTTGGTGGTACCCAAAGAAAGGTCTTGTCAAAAGGAATACACATGTGAAATATGAAAGTCACAACTCCACTTAATAAAAAGTTATGGGCAAGGTTAAAGTTTTCGTGACGGACGGACAGCTAGACGGACGGACGGACAGACGAATGAGATTTAATGTCCCCTCGCTTTCGCGAAAGCGGGGGACAATAATTGTAGATAACAGACTTGCTGGATACGTCAATACGGTATAAAATTTGGTCTAACAAGTATCAGATTAGCTTTATTTTTAGGTC